ATTAGGATTCTTTTTTCCTTTTGGAAGTGTTATATAAGGAGTGATCTACAATGCAGCTATGAAGGGCAATGTTTTTCTTCTCTTAGTTCATCTAATTAATCTAGGTTTTTTGTTTCTTTATTCTTGTTTGGTGGTTGGAAGCCAATGAATTAATGAAGTGGCCTAATTTCTTTATACAACCAATCAAGGGATTTATCAATTCCTGCACTTTTGGAGACTCGGCGTTTTAAATCGGTAGTTTCTTCTTGGAATATCTGTTGTTTCTTATTCTATGAGTTGATTCTATTGAATTCCTTTGCTAAAAAGGCCTATTAGTGAAATGTTTGGTAGGATTAGGGAGGGGCGATTTCAGATTTAATAATCCGAATGTTATGCAAGTTTGAATGTTAGTAGCAATTAAGGTATTACCTGAATTAATTTTAGGTTTTCAAAGTAAAATAACTATAGAGACAATAGGGGTTTTGAAAAATTTTAAATAATGGTTATGCTTTATAAAATTGTTGTCAAGTTTAAACTACTTCCGTGATTCTTTAATGCTTTTATTAAATTGAAGGGATTGCTTAATACCCGATCATTAATAATTAGCAGTTAATGAGGGTGCTGGGCTCAAGTTAACGAAATAAGGGGAGTTTTTGGGAATTTATTCATGCTTTTTGATAAATTTCAGTTAAGTAATTCAAAAGAGATTAAATCAAATAAGTTGTCTGTGAATCAATTTGCATTGGATTAGAAATCAACCTGAATTGGGTTTTCAATCACATTTGCATTAACTACTTTAAGTTTAATTAATTAATTTTCTTTTGAAAACTGTTAAGTTTGAATTTTCACAAACAAACCCTAATTCTTTTTAACACAAAAATTAAAGATTTCAAGTCTTAAGGTTCGACCTGATTCACCACTTCCTACCTACAGTTAATTTCAGTAATTTAAAATTTTGCGTGGAACCAACAAAACACTCAAATTTTTTGGCGCCGGTTGCCCGGGGCCTGAAAGAATTATTATATTTGGTGTTTTTTATTTTGGTTAAAATAGTTTTCTTATTTTGTGGTAGTGTTGTGGTTTCAAGGTTTGTGGTAAAATTTGTAGAACTTGAAGGAGAATGAAGTCAATTTGTTTATGACAAGAAGTTCCAATCTGGTGGAAAATTATTTTTTTTGATCTTGGGAAGTAAAAAAAAACAGCTAAATGTTTGAAGAAAATTAGCTAAAAAAGCTAAACAAGCCTACTTTTGAGTCAAGCTCTCATCTGAACGGACGTTAATGATAGTTCAAACAATTCTCCCGAGGGAATCAATTTCAGATCCAGAATCGAACATTGATACTAATGGCTGCAGAACCTTGAAAGAATTGCTACACTGACCTAAATCCAGCAAAATTTTTGTGCATTCAATTTCCTTCTTTAGATGTTTGCTTTTGAATTAAAACCTCTAGTCTAATCCATTGTTGCCTAAATTTCATGGACTTTCAAGGTGAGGAATCCGCATAAACATTGAAGAAATTTCAAATGTTGGTGTGTTTCTAGCAATGAAGCCTCAAGGAGTTTCAAGAGCAAAATTAAGCTTCCGAGCTTCTTTCCCTTCCTCATTGGAAGACAAAGCTAAGGACCTGGTTTTGTATTACCTTCCTTCTGGAATCATTTAATCATAGGATGAGATGAAGCGAATATTTTTAGAGAAGTATTTCCTGGCATGATAAAAGTGGTGTCTAATGAAAATATTAATTATTTTTTTTCTTAAGGGTCCAAAAATTAAGTTACCTAATATAGTATTTTTTTTTTTATGAAAGAAATAATCTAATTTCATGATAAGTGGTATCTATGAAAGAAATTTAATTAATTTTTTTTTTTCTCGTTCCCTTTTCCTTATAGACGATGTCCAAAAAAATTAGTTAGCCTAAATTTTTCTTTATTCATCTTTATCATTATAGAAAAGGAATACTTGATATTTGTTCTTTTCTATACCCTTAGACATAATTGGATTAATTGAATAAAGTAAAAAAAAAAACTTATAGAATGAATAAAAAATGATAAAATGTAATTTGACTAATAGTGTGAAATATAATATTCTTTGTCTTCTTTGAAATATATTTATGAGAAATTTTCTATAAACTAAATATATCTGTCTTTTAAACTTTTAATCTTTACACATTGGATGACTAAGAATATACAGAGAAAGAGAAACAATATAAATAGCAAAGCAATAAACAACTGTACAATAGGGCCTACAACCTGGTCGAAATAGATGGATGATGAAGAAGGCCAAGATTACAGGTCTTTCCTTGCACTTAATTAGCAATTATCCAAATATATTCAAAATAATATTATTATTAGATTACTAATTAAACATTATATTAAACCTAATTGTTAAAATCATCGAAGAAAGAGGACCTGGAAATGTTATAATTTATTATTTAATATTATATTATCTATTCTTCAGTCATTAACTATCAGATGGCTAAGGTATGAGTCTTGTTGCTCATCAATCACCATTCCCTCATCTATGATGTTCAAAATGAAAATTCCGCATGAAATAACAAACATACGAAGGCATCAATGAATAAACAAGGCAACAACAGGGTCCCTGTAAGGATTTTTCCAAAGAATCAGGTTTCATAATAAGGTGAGGGGGGAAAATAAAAAGCCCCCCCAAAACTTTTAAAGTGTCATGAAATCAATAACAAGTAAATGAAAGTATGATTGAGTAGAAACATTGGTTTCAAGAATTGTATATTATTTGTTCAAATATAAATCAAGGTAATCAGTAATAGAATGATTGAGCAGGCCTTTAGCCGGCGTCGAAGAAATTTTAGCAACCAAACAACAAACAAAATGCTATTATTGCACAAGGTAGTGGTTTGATGATTAGGACTATCAAGTGTTTTGGCCAAATTTGCCCAAAATTCACTAGTCCTGTCCACGTAAAGAATTTCAATAAAAATTGCACAATGAACTATTTTAGTCAACGAGTAGAATTAGATAGGGGAAACTAAAATAGTTTATTTCAAGAAATAACAAATCTGAAAACTTTTCAAGTTTTCCTAAAAATTTAAATACACCATAAATTAATTTATAATAAATAGTTTTACTATTTCCAATATAATAATGTTAACTCTTATGATTTTCGTGAGTCATACGTTAGGAGTAATAGGCACATCTAAATTATCTCACCTGTCACCAAAGTTTAAAAAAAAAAACTATTTTCCACTCAAATTAACGAAAACATAGAAACTTTTCATGCAAGATAACATTAGAACAGCCTCATGTTAAACCCTCATGTAGAAAGTGTTTGAATTTGATCACTTTTTTCTGAATCTTGAATGCATATTTCTACTTTGATTTTATTACTTGCTTGGAATTATCAAGAAACTTCACCTTGGCTTAATTCTCCCTAGGCATTACCCTATGCTAACTTGAGTGTTTGCACTTGGAGTATTGCCTAATTCCCCACCCTCAGTGTTTTCACCCTAGGTATTACAAGCCTCCTCCACATTGACGGTTTTTTCCTCCATGAGTATTGCCTCATCCTCCACCCGAAATGTTTCCTCCTGGGTATTCCCCTCCTTCACCTTAAGTATATCCCCCTAGGTATAACCCTCACTCCCACACTTGAGTGTTTCCTCCCAGCGGTTGACTAACCACCTCCACCTTCAGTGTTTGTGCCATAAAGTATTTGTCGATCCTCCACCGTGAGTGATCCAAAACAGAGTATTACTGCTACATCCACTTTGGTATTTTCAAACTTGGTGTTACCACTCTTCCCAGTTTGCCCTTATTGCCATCCTTGTTGCAATCTCAAACTCCTCCAACTTAATGTATTTTCATTTTTAATGCATTATCGCCTCCCCACCTTGAGTATTTTTCTCCCTGAGTATTACACCCCTCCCACCTTGAGTATACTGCCTCATTCCCCATGAATGTTCCATTACTGGGTATATCCAACCTCTACCCAATGAGTATTTTCTGACCCTTGGGGATTCCAACCTCCTCCGCCTTCAGTGTTTCTCCTGGGTAATTCAGCTCCTTGCTTGACTGTTCTCCACCTAATGGCATTGCCTCCCCCTCTCCCCTTGAGGTTGTCCACCCTTGGTATTAACCTCCTCCGCCTAGTGTTTCCCAACCTATGGTACTTACCCCATCTTCCACCTTGAGTGTTTTCGCACCTATTGTTTTACCCTCTACTCCGCCTTGAGTGTTTTCCCACCTTGGGTATCACCTCCATCTCTGCCTTGAGTGTTTCTCTTGGGTATTGCCAGCCTCCGTTGCCATGAGTGTTCCACTATGAATATTGGCTCCAATCTCCGCCTTGAGTGTTTCCACCTTGGGTATTACCTCCATTTTCGCCTTGAAGTGTTTTTTTCCTTCCTTGGGTACTTGCCAGCTCCGCTGCCTTGAGGGTTTCACCTATTGTATTGCCTCCAATCTCCACCTTGAGTGTTTCCACGCCTGTGTATAACCTCCCATCTCCGCCTTGAGTGTTTCCACCTTGGGTAATTACCTCCATCTTTTTTTGCCTTGAGTGTTTCCTCCTTGGCTATTGGCAGCTCCGCTGCCTTGAAGTGTTTTCCACCGATTGTATGCCTCATCCTCCACCTTGAGTGTTTCCCAAAAACCTGGGTATTACTCCATCTCCGCCTTGAGTGTTTCCCCCCATTTATACCCTTTCTTCCACCCTGAGTGTTTTTCCCCACCTATTGTATTACCTCCATCTCCACCTTGAGTGTTTCCACTTGGGTGTTACCTCAAATCCTCTGCCTTGAGCGTTTCCCTACCTTGGGTATTGCCAACTTCCGCCGCCTTGAGTGTTTCCACCTATGGTAATTAACCCTCATCCTCCCGCCTTGAGTGTTTCCACCTATGGTATTGTTCCCCCCCTTCACCTTGAGTATTCCACCCTATTGAATTTACCTCCATCTCCGCCTTGAGGTTCCACCTTGGTGTTACCTCCATCTCCCCCTTAGCGTTTCCTCCTTGGTTATTGCCAACTCCGCGCCTGAGTGTTTCACCTATGGTATTAACTCCATCTCCGCCTTTGGATGAGTGTTTCCACCTATGGTATTGCCCCCTCTTCCACCTTGAGTATTTCCACCTATTGAATTACCTCCATCTCCGCCTTGAGTGTTTCCACCTTGGATATGACCTCCATCTCCGCCTTGAGTGTTTCCTCCTTGGGTATTGCCAACTCTACTGCCTTGAGTGTTTCCACCTAGGGTATTACCTCCATCTCCGCCTTGAGTATTTCCACCTATGGTATTGCCCCCTCTTCCACCTTGAGTATTTCCACCTATTGAATTACCTCTATCTCCGCCTTGAGCGTTTCCACCTATGGTATTACCTCCATCTCCTTTTATGTTTCCACCTATGGTGTTGCCCTTTCTTCCACCTTGAGTATTTCCACCTATTGAATTACCTCCATCTCCGCCTTGACTGTTTCCACCTTGGGTGTTACCTCCATCTCCGCCTTCAGTGTTTCCTCCTTGGGTATTGCTAACTCCGCCGCTTGAGTGTTTCCACCTATAGTATTACCTCCATCTCCACCTTGAGTGTTTCCACCTATGGTATTGCTCCCTCTTCCACCTTGAGTATTTCCACCTATTGAATTACCTCCATCTCTGCCTTGGGTGTTTCCACCTATGGTATTACCTCCATCTCCGCCTTCAGTGTTTCCACCTATGGTATTGCCTCCTCTTCCACCTCGAGTATTTCCACCTATTGAATTACCTCCATTCTCCGCCTTGAGTGTTTTCCACCTTGGTGTTACCTCTATCTCTGGCCTTGAATAGTGTTTCCTCTTGAGGGTAATCGCCCAACTCCACTGCCCTTGAGTGTTTCCACCTATGGTATTACCTCCATCTCCGCCTTTGAGGTGTTCTCCACCTATTAGTATTGCCCCCTCTTCCACCTTGAGTATTTCCACCTATTGAATATTAATCCTTACATCTTCCGCCTTGAGTGTTCCACCTATGGTATTGCCTCCATCTACACACACAAGTGTTTCCACCTATGGTATTGCCTCCTCTTCCACCTCGAGTATTTCCACCTATTGAATTACCTCCATCTCCGCCTTGAGTGTTTCCTCCTTGGGTATTGCCAGCTCGGCGGCCTTGAGTGTTTCCACCTATTGTATTTCCTCCATCTCCACCTTGAGTGTTTCCATCCTGGGTATTACCTCCATCTCCGCCTTGAGTGTTTCCACCCATTGTATTACCCCCTCTTCCACCCTGAGTGTTTCCACCTATTGTATTTCCTCCATCTCCACCTTGAGTGTTTCCACCTTGGGTGTTACCTCCATCGACGCCTTGAGCGTTTCCTCCTTGGGTATTGCCAACTCCACCGCCTTGAGTGTTTCCACCTATGGTATTACCTCCATCTCCGCCTTGAGTGTTTCCACATTACCTCCATCTCCGCCTTGAGTGTTTCCACCTATGGTATTGCCCCCTCTTCCACCTTGAGTATTTCCACCTATTGAATTACCTCCATCTCCACCTTGAGTGTTTCCACCTTGGGTTTGACCTCCATCTCCGCCTTGAGTGTTTCCTCCTTGGGTATTGCCAACTCTGCCGCCTAGAGTTTTTCCACCTAGGGTATTACCTCCATCTCCGCCTTGAGTGTTTCCACCTATGGTATTGCCCCCTCTTCCACCTTGAGTATTTCCACCTTGAGTATTTCCACCTATTGAATTACCTTTATCTCCGTCTTGAGTGTTTCCACCTATGGTATTACCTCCATCTCCGCCTTTTGTGTTTCCACCTATGGTATTGCCCCCTCTTCCACCTTGAGTATTTTCACCTATTGAATTACCTCTATCTTCGCCTTGAGTGTTTCCACCTTGGGTGTTACCTTCATCTCCGCCTTGAGTGTTTCCTCCTTGGGTATTGCCAGCTCCGCTACTTTGAGTGTTTCCTCTGTGGGTATTAATGCCTTGTCCACCTTGCATATTTCCTTCCTGGTTAGCATCACCGCCTTGTCCATTCCATCGTTGAATGTTGCCACCTAGTGGATAAGTAACTCCATTGTGAATCCTAATGATAAGGTCATGATGTGGGCAATTTTGACACATGCATGACATTGCACTTCCTAATTGAGGTAATGTTGAATGGTTCACATGTGGACAATATCCACAATGAATGTTTGGCATTGGACAATAACCTATCGTTAAGATTCCGTTTTGAGGTCCGAATGGTGGTATGCTCCCATTCTGAAAGTTTACCGACCGACAGTTTTGGTTATTTTCTCTTTGGGTATTTCCAGATGGTTGATCCCCAAATCTCGATCCTTGTTGATTGTATATTTCTTGGGAATTACCTCCTTGAGTATTCATCAATTGGTTTTCTTGGACATCTCCTGCAGATTGATTCCCGCACTGTTGGTTCAAGCAACAAGGATGAGAAATGTATATTATCTGTAAACAAGGGTTCAGACTCATAGGACATGTTGGTTGTAAATTCAGCTGCTGTGTTTGGGTTGATTGGTTGTCCGCCATGGTTTCTCTGGGAGAGAACTCAGCTGCTGTGTTTGGGTTGATTGGTTGTCCGCCATGGTTTCTCTGGGAGAGAACTTCGAATGTTTTTGTTAAATAGTTTGGTGTCTCTCATTTGATGTGCAAACCAAAGACTTCTGCGTCTTTATATAGACATCTAGGAGATGAAACGTGACTTGGAAAATTATTATCTTATTCGTTGCAAGTGGTTTGATGACAGGTAAACAAAATTAAAATAATTCTATTAACAATTCTATAAAAATGGAGGCCATTTGGTTTAAATTAAACAAAATTCAAACAATTCAGTCATTTCTCTGTCAAGTCGTGGCCATGCATATTCCTCAGTTGAAATATTTCTAACTTTTTATGGCAAAAGAAATTTTTATTCTAAAAAGATTTTTTTTTTTTTTAATCCAAACTTATAACTTTTTATTTCAAATCCTACGGTACATGCCATCCGTATATCATTATGTTGGAAAATTTTCTTGCCTACGAGTTGAAGAGGAAAAAAAAAGAAAAATCTTGTATTGAACTCACATATTTTCAATATGGACAAATGCATAAATTATTATCTAAACATTATAAGAAAAGTTTAGTAGTTATTGATGTTCAGACTCATAGGACATGTTGGTTGTAAAGTCAGCTGCTGTGTTTGGGTTGATTGGTTGTCCGCCATGGTTTCTCTGGGAGAGAACTTGGAATGTTTTTGTTAAATAGTTTGGTGTCTCTCATTTGATGTGCAAACCAAAGACTTCTGCGTCTTTATATAGACATCTAGGAGATGAAACGTGACTTGGAAAATTATTATCTTATTCGTTGCAAGTGGTTTGATGACAGTTAAACAAAATAAAAATAATTCTATTAACAATTCTATAAAAATGGAGGCCATTTGGTTTAAATTAAACAAAATTCAAACAATTCAGCCATTACATATGTCAAATAATTAATAAGTTGTGTAAAATTAATTTATTAGATGCAATTTTATAAATTGAAATATAGTTTTAATAATTTAAAAGTTTAATGGATTAACTTAAAATTTGAGGATACTAATATGTTTTTCTTATTCTTATAAATTTAAATGTCAATATTTTTTTGTTTTTTTTTTTGTTTTTGAGTATTAGGGAGAGGAGATTCGAACTTGAACCTATTGTCAAACTGTATATATACTCCTCATTAGACTATGCAGTGATGTGCATTTCTTTGATATATATAAACACAAAGTCTTGCGTCAATGAGAGAGCCATCAACCTATAAATATATGATCTATGAATAAATAAAAATAAGTTGACGAAGACTTCCAGAATTTTTTTTTTTTTTTTGAAAAAGACTTTGAGAATTGTTGAATACTAGATCTAGAAGGAATAAAAATTAGTATAAGACATTGGAAAAATATATATAAATTAAAAAAAATATATATAAATTTTAAAAATATATATATTATATACCATAATACATAAAAACAAATATAACCTTAATGATTATTTTACATTTTAAGAGCAATTGCTATTTTGCAAAACACCATTTATTTATAAATTAACCACCACAAGTCACCAGCCACCAGCTGTCAGCAATCACTATCAGCTAGTATGAATATTAATTATGCATAGACCTAATAAAAATATAATTAATTTAGTCAATAATAATTTATTCAATCACCATAAGAATAATTTGCTTATTTTACAATTTGAAAAATCATTTAAATCTTATATTAAACTTGCATATTTTCAATATGGATAAATGCATAAATTGCCACTTAAATATTATAAGAAAAGTTTAATGGCATCCTAAATTTTATATTAAGCTAATTCATCCTTAAATTTGTAAAATTACAGTTATTGAATATTTTAACTTATAATTAAAATTGTGAGCACTTAAATGAATAATTATACTTACCAAACATTTAATGATCAAAAAATGTGAAATTATTATTCAATAATTTATATCAAAAGATGCATGAAAATTTTCGTACTTATGAAAAATATATTAAACAATTAAATTCTCTGTAAAATTAATTCAATAGATGTGGTTTTGCAAACTAAACTATTTAAAAAGCTGTAATTTTAATAGTATTTAAGATGAACTTAAAATTTGATGGTACTAATATACTTTTTTTATAAATTCAAGTGATTGAAATCTCATTTTTTGTAATTAAGATCATAAAATCTCATTATACTTGTGAAAGATTATTTTAAAAGTAACCAATATTTATATAATAATCTGAAAAAAAAAAAATTATTCTGCAAAGAGTTAGATACATGTTTCTTAAATTATCTCAAATTATATATATACACACACACACGAACAAAGGCTGAGTCAATGAGAGAGCCATTAGCCCATAAATATATATTATCTACAAATAAATAAAAATATGTAGACAAAGACTTTGAGAATATTTTTTCTTTCAGAATTATCTGCAAATGACAACACCATATTTATCTCCATATTTTTATTAATAATATTGTGAATTCTTAGAAAATAATGGTGTATTGTTTTAAAACTACTTAGAGATATTTTGATTTTATTTTTAAAGTTATTTTAAAATTTATCTTATTGATTATTTATTATATTTTATCTACAAATAACTACATCAATTTGCTTAATAATACAAATAACTACATCAATTTGCTTAATAATACAATAATACAATAACTATATCAAACACTAATTAAGTTTCATTGAAAAATTTAAATAAATTAATATGATAAAATAAATAACATATTCATATTCCATTTTCTCTCTTTTTTTTAGTCTTTTTAGTCCTTTGCTACCAAAAAAATGTCAATCCAACTTTCTATAAATTAAAAAATTATAAAAGCTCTCTACCCGATAGATTAAAAATAATAAATATAAATATATATTTTTTGCATATTGAGTGAATCTATAAAGCTATAATCGAAAATCATATTATTTCCTTATTTTTATACTTATATATAGTATAAGTATATAAATATATTTTTATATTTGCTGTTTTCTCTATGATTTAATGCTTACTCGACCTTCCTCCATAGCCAGACTTACCTAACATTGACATATATATATATTATATTAAGTCCTTTTATTTATTGTTTTTTATTTATTGTTAAGGTTTAAAAGTTCATTAACAAATATCTACCTAATGTCTATTTGTTTGTATTATAAGGCTTGTTTCCGTAAAATGACTTGCAGAAAAATATTTTTCACAATTTTTTTTTTGTTTTTGGCATTCAGAAAAATAAGTCAATGGAAAATATTTTTCTGGTCAAAGGAAAATTAACTCATTTCTTAAGGAAAATAACATCCCATTCTTGAGATAGTAAATATTTTCCGGATATTGAAAAACTTTATAGATCCATAGTTTTTTAATTTATCAATCATCATAGTCACTATCACCAATCATTATTTACCACCGACCAACACCACTAGCTATCACTACCAGTCACCACCACCATCCACTGATGGTCACTACTACCGGCGACTTTCATAATTTATATATATATATTGCATTCTTCTCATATTTAACAATGAAATTTGTAAGTATAAAATTTCTATTATTATTAATATTTTAGTCTTATGAGTTAAAAACTTTTAATATTTTTAAACTTAAATTTATCAATATTACAACCAAACAAAGGAAAATAAGGCTTTTAGAAAATTATTTTCAAGGAAAAATGTTCTCTATTGGAAATATTTTTCAGCATTTTTCAGCAAGTTATTTTCCTGCAAGTTGTTTTACGGAAACAAATGGAGCATAAGAGAATAAATTATCTAAACTCGATTTACTGGCTCTTCTATGAACTGAATGAATAATTTTTTTTTTTTTTGGCAAATGACTTTTGAATTAAAAGAGATAAAATGAGAAAAAAAAATCTTTACTTTATTGATTTGGTTCATGGATGAATCCATACAGCGAATCTGTACAAATTTAATCCATATTAAAAAATAAGAATTCATTAACGCGGAATCATTATTTTTATATAAATTTATCTGTCAATTTGACTTACCGTCAATTAACATGTATACACGCAAGTGTTGTTTGAGATAATTATATAAAAATTAAACAAATCAAATTAATAATGGTCGTGATTCACATCATGTGTTGGTTTGCCATGACCATGACCAAGACCAAGACCAAGACCAATTTTGAAGAATTAATTAGTTTATATAATATTATCCTTCAATTATTTAATAATTTACATATCACTGTGTCCTTTATCTCTGGCCGTGTTTTCTTAATTTTCATATTATTCCTTGCTGATGAGATGACAAGTATAGAAGGTATAGTTAATTATTTAAGATAGACCAAGATCATAGAATGTCAACATTAAAATATAAATGAAAAGACTAAAAACAGAATTTTTTGGGGAATTTGGGGAATTTATATTTAATGTAAGTAATCACTTTGGTCGTTAGCCATTAATAAAATAGGCAGTCAATGAAGACAAAAAACAGAAAAAAATAAAAATAAAAAAAGACTTAGAAGAAGACTATATATTTTTAATGTGTTATCCTGAATGCCATGTGTTATACACAAGTAAAACGAGTTGTGTTATAATTCATTACATAAACAAAATAAATAAATAAATAAAAAATAAAAACTGATTGCACTCCTTTGGTGTTAAGATAGGGATGTTTTAATTCACATGTGTTTAGTCAATCTGAATTACATTAAATTATGGAAGAAGTAATTTCTTTATTTTCTTTTGTCAAGAGCGTAATGATAAGGGGATTAAAAATAAATAAAAGACTTTGATTGCACTCCTTGGTGTTAAGATAGGATGTTGTAATTTCACATGGTGTTTAGTCAATCTGAATTAATGTGTTTAGTCAATCTGAATTACATAAATTATGGAAGAAGTAATTCTTTATTTTCTTTTGTCAAGACGTAATGATAAGGGGATTAATGAATTTTTTATATTTATTGTGAATTTATAGGTATTATTTTTATAGTATTTTTAATATAACTCTAGCCTGTGCCACTTGCACGAACCCGCATGAGATACTTTTCTGATGTGCCAATCAAATTTAAATCATA